TGTACGTATTACCCGTGGGTAAGGGAAGGCTGATTTTGAATGGGCAAGGTTGAGCATGGGCGGTGGGTCATTACCCTAAAATTTCAGCCTCCTAGACTCCGTGGTTCCCGAGATATTTACTTACCCGTGAAAAACTTTCAGAAAAATTTCAGCCTCCTAGACTCCGTGGTTCCCGAGATATTAACTTACCCGTAAAAAACTTTCACAGAGCCGTACGCGTTACCCGTGGGTACGGGGAAGCTGAATTTAGATTTGCGGGGTCACTCGTGGTTGGGGAACGTTCCCCTAAATTTTCAGCTTCCTAGCTTTTGTGGTTCCCCGAGTTGAAAATTGCGGACAAGTTGCTGCGGACACACACACACACACACAAACACACACACAGACAACCCCGTAACAATATGCGTTTTGTACTGCTGTTACACAATACAAAACGTATAATAACGCATCCTCGTACCGGCAGCCGGTACGCTTTCGACTAATTCTAGTTGTTATGCCGTTGTTCCCGATGCGTAAAAATGTCTGGGCCAAATGAGGTGAAGGGGGTTTTATTTACGGGGTGTATTGACGAACTTGTGAGCTGAACGAATGACGACGAGGCAGATCTGAAGTGGCGGTACGACCTAACAGGAGAGCTTTGTAAGAAACACTAAGACAACAACATAATACACCCTTAGGCAAATACATCCTAAAACAGCAACATAATACACCCTTGCACTACCTAACACTAGTTTTGTTCGCTATCAAATGCGCATAAGGGGTTTATAATTTGTTGCGATTTTGTGGCTAAGCAGCAACAAATTTTTTTTGGCACTACTATAAATTACCTTAAATACATTACGGCTTATTTCCAGAGTCAGGTTATAAATCCACCACGCATAGCTAATAACATAAATTAGAAAAAAGAAATACAGGACACAACGGACACAGTAGGGGAAATAAGATTTCTGCATAAGTCGGTTTATGCAAGACACTGCCCAAACTTTAAGGGTCCGATTTCCAGAACACTGGATAATGCCTGGCAGAACAACTTAGTTTTCTGGAGGAATGCAACTGGTAAGCCAATACATCGAAAAAGAAAGTGATGCAAAACGACTGCAGCCAAATTGCTCGCCGCTTATATTAACTTAGAATAAGTTGGCAGTTATGCTTATTCTGTTCAAGAAACATGCATAAAACACAATTTCTGTGCGGAAAGGCATGCACAAAAGCTGGCTAATGGAAATATTTTACAGTATCGCTGAAACTCTCAAAGCTAAACCCCATATATCCTTCCAACATTCTGCGCTAAAAGCAGTAACACAAGGGGTGAAAAATGCGATCACTTATGAAAGCAGAACAGCAAGCGCTGGCTGAGACGGAGGGAGCAGTGGAGCGAAAGATGGAGGAGGCCTCTTGGTGAGTGCATAAAAGCGTCAGATGAGCGACGCTCAGAACTTCACTGCACTGACATTAAAATGTAAAATCTAATGAGCAAAGCAATTCATTTCACCTTGACAGCAACTGGCTAAGATGTGCATCAGTGACTGGTATCCGCGATAACGTAAATGAACACTCAGTAGCCTCTCCAAACAGATAACGTGCATACATCGTTCAGGTGCCGAAAGATCTGGCACAGTTGCGCCCAGTGTGTAAGCACGTTGCACTGACATTACTAATTTCAGGCCCCCCAAGCAAATAACTATTCATCCAGAGAAATAATAAAGAGGAAAATAAGAGGGAAAGCTTCAAGACCGGAGAAAAAAAAACATTACAAGTGGGGAGGTTTAAACAGCAACGTTAAATTCCGGGTAATCAATCCCCTTATCTGCTCCTTTAAAACACTTTTCACAATACCAATACTGACGACCTCTTTTCCTTGCAAACTGCTTAGTGAATGAAAAGTTTGTTAAAAAGTACCGTTTTTACGACCGCTTTTTCCTTTGCTTTGATTTTCTTTTGCAAATATTCCCGTTCTTTTTTACCCGTGCAAATGTCGCAATTGAGATCGAACAAATGAAACCGATGCATTGCTGTCGTATTCACTGGCTCAACGCCGAGGATTTTGTCCACCTCACTTTCAGCTTCCACCTAAGAAATACAGTCAAACGATTGGCGTCGCGCGCACCAGGTGGGCTCGTGCAATTATGCATTTTTGCAGTATTTCGTGCTATAGTAAGATTGCCTTAAATCCCAGTAGCTAGAATCTGGTCCTGGAAGTTAAAAAATTGTGCAACTGTTGTGGTACCAAAACAAAGAACATTCTGCTAAAATTTCAGCTTTCCAGCTTTTCTGGTTCCCGAGTTAGCAATTTCCTCGCCAAAAACATTCGCGGAGCCGTACGTGAGAAAGACGTAAACCCGCGAGCTGAATTGGAAATCTCTGAATTCTACTTCGACATCCCCTGAAAACTTCAGCCTCCCAGCTTTTATGGTTCCCGAATTAGCGGTTTCCCGTCAATATTTTTGCATGATCGTACTCGAGGCCTCGGCGTGCATGAAGGTTAGTACCGCTGTCCTGGGGTGGCAGTTAGCCGGAGAACCCGCTGGCAAAATTTTGGCGGCGGAGCTCGCGCGGCTGCCGAGTGGAAATACCCGGGTGGACAGACAGACAGACAGGCAGACAGAAACACACACACACGAACATACACATATACACACCATGGGTCGTTACAATATGCGTTTTGCGTTTGCATATATACAAAAATACTAGGAAAAAGTATGTAATGAATGCACAGAACAAATGCAGCTGCAACTTACAGGGGCAGCTGACTTCTTGAATTCAGCAGATGGTGGTTCCGCCTTCTTCAAAGATGTTTCTGTTCCTAAAATTTTTACAAATTAAGAAGTTAAAAACAAAATATAATGTAATCATTGGAGGGGCCCAGGAACTAAACTGAAGTATTCTGAGGCCAGTATTACATATTACCGAAAACACTATTCACTTCTTGAATTAGAAAAATGCTAAGACAGTGAAACTGTCCCGGATATATGCAAAAAAACACCAAAAAGTGGGAAATGTGCGCTACTTGTAA